CCTCGTTATCCTCGCGTACCTGGATCTTACCAAGCTTCTCACTAGGCCTCAAGAACTCGAGCATTCCATTGACAAACAGAGCCTCTTTCACACCGTCACCCATCGCAACATACTCTGCTTCAGTTGTTGAAAGTGTGACACATTTCTGCGTCCTAGAAATCCAAGCAACAAGACAGTCAGCTACAAGAACTAGTGCTCCCGAAACTGATCTACGGTCAGTGGCCTTACTGGCGAAGTCTGCGTCTACGTACACCAACGTGCCTACGTCTACCATAGTGTCCTGCTTGTACTTCAAAGTTAGATGTGCCGTCTCCAGAAGATAATTCAGAATCTTCTGGGCCGCCTTCCAGTGGCTCTTCTTTGGCTCGTGAGAGTGCCTCGCCACCGCCCGCACAGCATTTGAGATGTCGGGCCTTGTCTGGTTGGCGATCCACATCAGGCTCCCCACCACCTCTCGGAACGGCACATCCCCTGCCGCCTCATCCTCCATCACGGACCTGTAATCACTTAACAGGGGAAGCAGGGATCGAGCTGGTGCGACAAACATTGAATCTCTCGAGAACACTCACTCCTGATGTAACTCTCTTGAGACATCTCAATCGTACCAGCCTTGCGGTCGCGAACGAATGCGCAACCAAGAAAGAACTTGACCTCGCCCAAATTCTTCGTGGGGGGAGAGTCACCTAGCGGTTCCACAACCATCTTGGCAAGCCTCTCAATTCCTGCATACAGAATGCCATCCACATGAATCGCAATCATACCCAACACCTCGTCTCCCATCATGAAACGAAGAACGCAGGGGTCAGACAGAGACTGTTCGAAACCAATCCTCTTCAGGTCCGACACAAGTCTCTTGTGAAATGTTCTAGATGCCTGTCTCAGTCCAAACTCTTGTCTAAACGGACTACCTTTCCTGTCATCGACTCACAGCCAGGAGGCAACTTCATGAACACCTCGTGATCCAATTCCGACTGAACAAACGCTTGCTCAATGTTAAAGTGAAGAAATTCCAAATCATACTTGCACGCCAATGCTACCAACAAACGAATCGATGCAGCATTTGCAGTAGGCGAGAAAGTCTCAAGATAATCCACACCATGCTTCTGCTTGAAGCCCTTCGCTACAAGCCTAGCCTTGGCCTTCACTATCTTGCCTGTTTCATCTGCTTTCCATTTGTAGACCCATCTAGCATCTATCACGTTACAGCCTATCGGAGCCTTTACTGCTAACGCAAACGTTCCTGCTCTTAACAAGCCTTCAAATTCTACAGACATGGCTTCGTCCCAAATCGTGGAATACTTTGATTGGCGGGCTTCTTGATAGCTACCCGGTTCTGACTCTACATCTAATTAGTACTTTCGGCAATTCCATTGCATCAGATGCTCTCTGTTCGACTAAGAGTGCCAATATTATTTCTGATGCGGAGATGGGTCCTAGAGTGGCCATGAGGCCGGGTACGCTCTGCTGATTTACTGCCCGAGTTTCCGCACGGGTTCTGCCTTCTCTGACCTCAACATTCTCATTCATAGCAGTGTTGTAACTAGCAAGCTCATGCCGCGCACGACGATTGGATGGTACGTGCGTAGCAGGGGGAAATGCCTCCGATTGTACCTCCTGCCCTCCCGGCTCAACCAACTCTTCATCCAAACCTTCCTGACTCTCCGACTCTACCTCCTGCCCTCCCGGACCCGCCGATTCTGTCTGCCCTGTCTCCGGCCCTCCCTGCCCTCCCTCATCGGAGAACTCGTCTGCTGGAGAAGACACAGGGGGAGCTGCGCTACTAGGGGAATTAATCGCGGGCGAAGATGGCATAGAGGGGGGTTGACCTACACTGCCTGCATCAACACTGCCAACCTCATCGATTGTTCCACCAGAGATATCACGTCGCAAAAGAATGTGGGGAACTCCTCTCCCTAAAAGCGGCCATACCTCAGCTTCTATATCGTCGTCACGTTCCTCCCCTCCCTGCTCTGCAACCTCTATCGGCAAGAGAGACGGTTGCGGTGGAGGGAGCTGTGACGGCAACGCTTCCCATGTCACATTCCTCGTTTCCTGAATAGTTCCAGCCCTCGTAAGTACTCTATGACAGTCACGCGGGTGGTCTCTCGAAGGACCGACATAAAAGCAAGCCTCACCCTTCGGTAGCAGCTTAGACGGACGCTGCCACCTACAGTACGCCGGTTTCAAAAACGGATACGGTCTAGCATGACTAGCTTCACCATGCCACATCTCATACGGTGACTTACTGTCGGGATTAGCGGAACAAGCTGTGTGGTTAA